GTAAAAATCCCAGGGCGTTTCTCGAAAAGCGTAGGGGTGTTACCCCGGTGTCCTGGCCAAATTTCCCCCTGGCCTTTACCCATCACGGCCTCCTAATAATCTCGATCTCTGGACTGGCTTCATCACTCTGCTCTCCTCCCCACCGACTGGTGCTGCACACTGGTGGTGGAGGGGAGTTCTCGTTACCCGTGAAGCGCTTTCAGTACAGTGTCCAGAAAAGCGCGATAGAAGTGTAAGGATTTATTATTAATTATTCATGTGAAAACCAGTACATTTAAATGTGTTGTCCCGCGGTGTGGTGTGACAGTGTCCCACGCTTTCTTCAGGTAAGCTCGCAGTACCTGCCGCTTGTTGTTTTCATCAGGTCTTGAATACTGATCCACAGTGTACAAGCACATGGCCCGGGAGGCGCACGCACAGCGTGTGGGACCCCCAGCCCTTGAAACGCCTGCTCTATTCAGCAGAGACACGCTATCAGCTTACTCCCCAATGGGTCTGCGTGAAGCCCCCCGTCTTCCTCGTGATGGACTGCGGCCAGGAGGGGCGGGTCTCGCGGACAGGAGATAGTAGTGCGCGCCGCGCGGGGCGGGTGGAGCTGAGAGCGCGCTCGGCTCCTCGTTGCAACAGCGGCCACCCCAGCAGAAACAGAGAAGTCCTGTCCGACTGGTACGAGTGGTGTCCTCTTGCACAAAGTCTGTGCACCTGGTAACAGTTCGTGTGCGCAAAGCAAGTTGATGTGTCTTTCCTGCCGATGTCTTTGCGTTAATGCTTATTGCCGAAGCCAACGTGACCTGGTGTGAGACTTGCTTCTTGCCTCGAATGTAAAACGCTTTGCTCTGCTAGGGGCCAATGCGACAGGATGAAGGACGCTCTGATGTTTGTTTGCCTGTCTGTGACCGTGGTCTACCTGAGGACGGACTTGCCTGAAGACGAGGCGAGTCCGAACGGGATTGCAGGTAACATCGTGGTCCATGAGATTCACGTTTCGCCTCTCCAGGCCGGCAGGGTGGGTTTTACGCAGTCAGGTGTAGAACAGCCTCACCTGCCCGTGCGGTGGTGTCGAGGCTGTCTGGAAAGCTGAGCTTTGCTAAAGCACCAGCGGCCTGGACAACCTGGCCAGTCTTTGATCCTGTTTTACTTTAACACACAGGTGATGCACAGGTATCGCTTTTCGGCTGTGTTTCAGCTACAGAATGAAACGCGACAGCGGTGGTTTGACCAGTCTCGGAAAAGCCTACGTAAAATAAAATAAGAGGAAACAATTTTATTTTAGTTTTTGGACTAAGTTTGGAGTTCTGTCGGTGAACTGCGTTCTGTGGGATATTTACAGCGAAAGTCTTGGGCGCCTTGAGGTTCCGTCAATTAGACGGGAATAAGACCTACATTCGCAGCAACGGGGAACTGGCCAGCGACACCCTCACCGAGGCTGCCTTCGAGATCTCTGACCCCTTACACCTGCTCAGCTCCGCGTCCTTCTCCTACACCTGGGACCTGGGGGACGGGTGAGTTCAGGTCAACTGCGCCGTGAGCGGTGTGGAATATCCCATGAACCCATGCGCGGAAGCGGGGGGGTCGCTCTGTGCTGTTAAAATCGCTCAACTCGTGAGTGCGTGTCATTATTTAGCTCGATTAAGGTACTGCGTAGTGCTGATGTAACGGGTGTGGATGAGTGCCATTCACGGAAACTTCAGCGCCTTTCTTAATGTTCTTAATAATAGGTCTTATATTTTTGTAACTGCCCACAGACATGTGGTAGTGAGCACAGAGTCCTATGTGCATCACACCTACTCCTGCTCGGGGAACTACACCATGAGACTGAAGGTGGAAGCGTACTGGACTGAGAGAGAGGACAGGC